TATATCATTGTCCACTTCCATGTTTTCATTATCCATGAAGGATGGGTTATCCCCCACTTGAGATGCTTTAAAAGCTATGCCTCTCTTATACATTCTTGCATTTTCTTTCTCTTGCACTTTGAATTTCAGCTTTAATTCATAAGAGGTTAGGGAATTCACAAGAGATTCAATGGACATAGAATTTAAATCCTTTGCCTCTTCTATAGCATTTATTTTGTTTTCCCATTCTTTTGACAAGGCATTCAAAATCTTTCTATTTTTCTCACCCAAAAAATATTCTTTTCCAAGCAATTTAAGATCTTCAATAATGTCACAAAATCTACTACACATCTTATCAACATTTTCAAGAGGATGCATTTTGAAAAATTCATATTGAGAAACAAGTAAAGATTTCTTTTGTTCTTTAATATCTTGGTTACCTTCATGAAATTCACACAATTTATCCCAAATGTCTTTAGCTGATTTACAACCTTTAATCCTACTAGATTCATTTACATCTAATGCAATGCACAATATATACATGGCCTTGGCATTCAAAGAAAGATATATCTTGTCTTTTTCATTCAATTCTTGTCTAGTCTTTAATCTACTCAAATTGGTGGTAGAGTCAACTATTCTAGCTTCATAAGGACCATCTTCTACTACATACCATAATTCAATATAAACGGATTGTAAGAAAATCATCATTCTTTGTTTTCACATGCTAAAATGAGAACCATCAAACATAGGTGGTCTATCAATAGATTGCCCTTCTAAAAAAGAAACTTTTATGGTTGCCATGATCTTTACTCTAAGCGGTTAACCTTGATCAAAAGAGACCAAACTCTGATACCAATTGTAAGGCCTGGTGCAACCCAATGAGTACAAACAATTTCACAATGATGCACAAAGATATATCAAATTTAAGCACAATAAAGAAAACTTAATTAAAGAGAAAAGATAAGAAATGCAAACCAAATATCAATCCAATAGCCTCTTCAATAGATGGCGATGCTAACCAAGATGTACAAGTGAAGGCTCACTCCTTCCTCACCCCAAACACACTTTGGTTGAGCCAAGAAGTTTTACAACTATTCTAGTTAACCCTCAACAACCTACACTTGAAAGATCACTCACCCAAATAAGAACTATTTTATACAAATGAGGCAACCTTCACCAAGGTTTTACCACTTCAAGTGATAGGTTCACCTTCACCAAGGTTTTACTCCTCCTAGAGAATAACCTTCACTTGAGCAACCTCACAACCCAACTTTCCCAACCCCTTATACAACCAACAAAGAATCTTTCTACTCAAAAATCTCACTTGTAAGCTTGTATTTTGTGTTGGCAAAAGTCCCTTGTCTTCTTGTGCTTTGGGGTTTTTATAGAAGGTGAGAAATGGCTCCAAAAGGCTCTCCAACGGTCAAATATTAAATGCTGTCAAAACTAGCCGTTGGCCTGTCGGACGTCCGAACCACCTGTCGGACGTCCGAACCCTGCGTCCGACCGTCGTCAGAGAGTCATCAAATCTTTGCGAAATTTCTCGGACGTCCGATGCGATCGATGTTCGTCCGATGCGTGCGTCCGTTGATGTTCTTCATCCTTTCGGACGTCCGATAGCTTCCTTTCGGACGTCGCACATGAGTGCCCTGTTTTTGCTTCTTCTTTTATGCCACAAAAATCTGTTCTAACAAATTACTCACATAAAAACATTAGCCCAAATCTACATTTTGGTTTGTTAATCATCAAAACCAAGGATTGATCGACCAAGGTCAACAATTTTCTATGGGTAATACTATATTTTCTTCTAGATCTGAATTTATTGATTCTTCGTATGAATTTTCTAGTTCTTCAATTGAATTTTCTTCTATAGTTTGATCTAAAGTATTTATTTTAGGTGTTGAAGGTTTTACTTCTGTAGTTATACTTTGTAATGCATGTGATATTTTATTTAATAGATTGTCTGTATTATTTATTTTCTGACTATTAATATTTTGAACTAAATCTTGTTCTTTTCCTCTGGTTAGGCTTCTTGGTTGAAAATGAGGTGCTGAAATATCATTTGGAAACTTTAATTCTGGTTTCTTTAATGTATCTATTTTTGTATTTAATACTTCCATATGTTGAGAAATTGTATGAAAAATTTGATTTGTATAATTATTTTGTTGATAAATTTTTTTAATATCTTCTAAATTTACATTATTATTTGTACTTGATTCAGCTTCTCTACCCTTTTTAAAAGGTGAGGCCATTATATCTCCTTGTCCTATATTAATTTTTACTTCTTGTAATGGGGGATGTATTGAGGTTAATATTTGATCATCTTTTAATTTCCATTTTTTATATAAATTAGTTTGAACATTTATTTGTGGTGTATTATAAACATCATTTATTCCTATTTTTGAAAAATAAAATGATAACCAGGTAAAGAAAGGAAAATCAAATTTTCTCTTTTCTAATTCTTCTTTCCATTCTAATATTAATTTTTCTTTATATTCTGATTCTAATTGAAAAAATCAAATTCTTTTTCCCCTATTTTCTTCATCATCAAAATCTTCTTGTAAATATTTATGATTTATTTTATATGGTTTATTTATAACATTTATTTCTGAATATACTCTTATATTTTAAATATAAGGATTACTACAAAATATAATATAAAACATATATCCAAAATAAAGAATTATAGTTTAAGATTATAGTTACAATGTAATCAGGATATAACTTGGGATAATATATAGTTGCATGATAATAATTAGTTAAACTAATATTAATACAGATTGTATCTTTATAATTTGTAAAAGGGTATATACCAAAGTAATACTTTTGTTATCATTTAATATCCCAACATTCTTATATGCATGATAATACTATATTGAGAGAGTTTTCTTAGACATTCTTACTTATCCAAAATAGTCTAATATTTGAAATTACTTTTTAAACTATGATAAAGAAAAAATTGGTGGGATAATGCTTTAACATTACAAGATAAATTGTCAATATTAGAACATACACAAGAAATTGAAGATGATCAAGGAAATATTCAAAGACAATCGGATGCTGCAGAATTTTTAATTGTAACAATAGTAATGTACTTTATAGGAAATCCAAAAGAAGAATTAAACTCTAATAAAACATTTCTAACAAACTTAAGATGTCCAACATTATCAAATTTTAGATGGTATAAAGATATGTTTTTAACAAATGTATTAAGAAGACCAAAGCCTTTGATGTAATTATATCGGTGAAATTATCGGTGAAATTATATTGTAACTGATATCTTTATATATAAAGATATAAAGATATATAAATTGTAAAGTGGCATATGACAAAAAGATGTTTTGTCCCGAGCCTCTATAAATTGAATCAAGATTTTAGAATGAAGGCATCGGTGAAATTATCAGACTAGATATTGTAAAGCCTTTGAAAACTCTCTCAACAACTCTCTTATTTTCAACCTACTCCCAACTACTCTCAACCACTCTTGTACTCAAACTATTGTATAATAAGAAGATTCAAGCATTCTTCAAAGCTTCCGTGTGCAACTCAAAGTTTTATTGTAAGTCCAAATCTTTATGCTTATTACAAGTTTATAATGTAACTATAGTCCTACTATAGTTACAATGTAACTAATTATAGTTTGATAACTTTGAGATTGCCTCGGATACCATCTCGGTATCTTTTTCTTTTTCTTTCTTTATTGGAGTAGTGGTTGGAGTTGGTGAAGACTTGGTTGTAGTAGGTACAAAAGTTGTTGGAGTAGATATTGGTTTGGTCCATTTGAGTTTATCTCCGGTAGTTAGGAATCTGATGACATTTACTTGATCTCCGAATTCTTGATTGAATCCTGTCCACCATTTAACTTTGAATTCTCTGACTAATGACATTGGAAGTGATTTTTCAAGCTCTTGATGAATTTTGAAACTCCAGCAAAATATCCGTGGAACTTTGAACTCCATATGAAATAAAATCGGTCTTGTATATTCTTCCCCCTTTGCTCTTTTTAGATATGTTTGAAATAATACATTACTTATCCAATGTCTAGCCTTGATGGATTACCTTATTATATCATAGTATAATTATACAATCTTCCAATTAAATACTATGATATCACAACATGTGTTGGCAATCCATCATGTATAAGATTAAATTAGTTGATATCACTGTTAGCATTAAAGGGTATACTCATCTCAATATACAAACTTACATGATTTAATACCCTTTAATATGCTTTGTAATTATCAGGATTCTATTGTTACATAGAATTATACAACAATTCTATTGTTACATGGATTATACATTGGATATACACAATTTAATACATTAGATATTCATTTACAAGGAAATGAATTTACAAGAAAATTCTTTGTATGTTTTTCAAATTCATTTCCTTGTAAATGAATATCTAATATAACTGAATTCAGGATGTGTGGGTCAGTTAAGTCTATTGAAAAATTTGGAGCACAATTAAAATATATGGGTCCATTACAAACATTAGTTTGAATCATGGAAAGTAACGAAGTTTTATAACGTTTGAGTCTAGTATCTCTTAATGCTAAATATATTGGAGCATCTACTCCTAGATGGAATAAAGGTTTTACAGCAATTTGTATTAAACCTATATGAATATATCGATATTCTTTACTTAAATATTTTTGAATTGTACTATGATTTAATAATGGAATTGATTGATATTCTTCTTGAATAGATATTGTTTCTTCATGAGTTTTAATTGATAATGCTGTTTTGAAATCTAACGGGCCTATTCTATAAAAATGTTCTATTTTTTCTTCTGGAATAGTCCAATCTGAATTATTTATAGGCATATGATATTCGTGACTTTGTACTATATTAGCTTGTTTTGAATTAGATCCTATTTTAAATTGTCTAAGAAATGCAGCCATGTTTAATATTTAATTAAATTTTTACCTAACCGGGAACAATTGAGCACTATGCCTGGAACATCCTATCCTGGACTTACCAACGGTCTTACAAGGCATCAAGTCTTACCAACGATTTTAGTAAAGCTTTAATAAAATATGTAAACATAAATGCATGAATTAGCAGATTAAAATAAAATCGTAATTCAAACAAAATAATAGTAGTTCAAAATCTTAAATATGCAGGTGCATATAAACGTGAAAGTGGCTCTGATACCACTTCTACCCAGGCAATATAAACTTGTAATAAGCATAAAGATTTGGACTTACAATAAAACTTTGAGTTGCACACGGAAGCTTTGAAGAATGCTTGAATTTTCTTATTATACAATAGTTTGAGTACAAGAGTGGTTGAGAGTAGTTGGGAGTAGGTTGAAAATAAGAGAGTTGTTGAGAGAGTTTTCAAAGGCTTTACAATATCTAGTCTGATAATTTCACCGATGCCTTCATTCTAAAATCTTGATTCAATTTATAGAGGCTCGGGACTTGTCATTTGAATTTCATTTCCTCTTCATTTGAGTTTCATCTTCCTTTTCCATTTGTGGCCGACATCTTTTTCAAAAGTCATTTGGATCTTGTCCGCATGGTCCTCCGAATGGATCAAAAGTAGATTCGGATGATTCTGCTGACTCGTCAATCTTGTCGGTTTCTTCTTTCTTATCCTGCTTTTGTAAATAGTCCAAATACTCTTTAAGCAGTCTTGGATCGTGAATCATCTTTTTCATCAAAAAGTCATTTGAGATTGCCTCGGATACCATCTCGATATCTTTTTCTTTTTCTTTCTTTATTGGAGTAGTGGTTGGAGTTGGTGCCGTAGTGGTTGGAGTTGGTGAAGACTTGGTTGTAGTAGGTACAAAAGTTGTTGGAGTCGATATTGGTTTGGTCCATTTGAGTTTATCTCCGGTAGTTAGGAATCTGATGACATTTACTTGATCTCCGAATTCTTGATTGAATCCTGTCCACCATTTAACTTTGAATTCTCTGACTAATGACATTGGAAGTGGTTTTTCAAACTCTTGATGAATTTTGAAACTCCAGCAAAATATCCATGAAACTTTGAACTCCATATGAAATAAAATCGGTCTTGTATATTCTTCCCCCTTTGCTCTTTTTAGATATGTTTGAAATCCCATAAGCACATTTGGAGGTAATATCTCTGGTTATGGTCCAAACCATTTCCACCAGTGATTAAACCAAATTGGAAATTCTCTGCTGCAATTTTTTTTGAACGTGAAGAACCATGAATGATTGAATGGTCTAAAAAGGAAGGCACAATACCATGCCATTTTGTAGTCTTGATAAGTGAATCCATCTGGAATGAACCTTACTGAAAAGGATTTTTTAGAATAAAGAGAAATCCATTCATTTGGAGAATAAACTCTCTTGATTATGCATTTTGAGTGGCTAATTATATTTGGATTTTTCCTGTCTGGAATTGGGAATATTTCTACAGATTGAGTATCTGTAAGAATTAATTCATAATAATCCAAATTTTTTGAAGGATCATCTGGTTGCCAAAAACACTTTTGCGGAAAGATTCTTTGGGTAATTTGATTAAGTGTAGAGTATAAAGGTACTTCTTGAAATCTGATTAGAGTGATATGTTGGGTAAATGACTTAGTAAAATAGGTATTTTCTGTGGATTTTTCTGGGGATTTTGGTAGTTGTTGAAGTGGTTTAATTTGAGAGGAAGTTGGAGTACAAGCAGCTTGACTATAAGTCAGTGCTGGAAAATCTGATAAAAGTTGGAATCTATTTTGAGTAACAGGAGTAAGACTCATCTCATAATCCTGAGGAGTCTTTGGCCTGGAATTTCCTGCTTTTGAATCCATGATCCTGCACAATTAACAAATAATTTTGTTAAGTTTTTCTCTCAGCTGTTGGATTTGGTTGTTGTAATATTGAATATCCTCTTGAGGATGACCGGCCTTTTTAAGGACGTCTTTGAAAATAATATAGGAATTGATTTGTCTTTGGAAAAGAAAGGCTTGTTCTTTTGGAGTAGTGGCAGCCCAAAAGCTATGTCTAATGTGTACTGTATCGTGGTTTCGAATTTGATGATAAGGAATGGGTTGAATCTCAGTTTCAAAGGTTTTAATATAATAGGTAAAATGTCTGTGTGAAATATTTGAATCTCGTTTTCTAAGAATAGGATTATCTCTTTCAGCTCGTAATCTTCGAATATATTCTTTGTGAGTTTCACGTTCCATTGCCCTGTAAAAATTCTCGGGTCAAGAAGTCTGGGAGAGAATTATCTTCTCCTTTGATGAATTCAATTTCGAAATCAAATACAGATAAAATAGCTTGCCATCTAGCAAATATTTGTTTTGAAACTATATTTTGAACATCTTTTTGTAAAATCTCTTTTGCAGATTTACAGTCTATTCTAATTAAAAATTTTTTATTATATAAATCATCTTGAAATTTTGATATACATAAGACTATGGATAAAATTTCTTTTTTAATTGTTGAGTAATTCTTTTGAGGGTCAGACCAGGTTCCTGAATGAAATCTAACTAATTCTTCTTTTGAATCTCCGATTCTTTGTTTTAATATTCCTCCATATCCTAATTCTGATGCATCTGTTTCAACTATCATGAATGCTTTAGGATGTGGTAGACATAAACATGGTAATGATTTAATTTTTTCTTTTAAATATCTTATTTTTTTGAGTATGTTCTTCTGTCCATGGTTTTGGATTTTTCTTTAGTCTATTAAATAGTATTGAACATTCTTGTCTCAAATATTTTTCTTTAATTAGAATCCGATCAATTCTCTGTATATTTTGTCTTCCACTTCCCTCGTGTTACACCAAGTGAAAAAGCACCCCTTGCTAGGATATTCAATTACATCTAGTGCATCCAGACAATTATTGAAATCTTCCATGGCCCCAAGGTCAAAGTCTGAGCAGCCAATTCTTTCAGTGCTGGTCCTTATTGCATTAAAATCCCCAAAGATAAGCCAAGGGGAGTTGCCAATAGTAGCCCAGATTTGTCTTAGATGCTGCCATAATCCTTTTCTTTGCTCAGTTTTATTTGCCCCATAGACTATGGTCAATATAAAGATCTGACCCTCATGTGTGTCAACAAGGTAGGATATTGCTTGTTGATGAATGATTAGCAAGCTACAATGTACTATTGAACTATTCCATGCAACCCATATTCTACTGACACTACCAGGCACCCCATTACGAAAAAGTTGCCACTGGAAAAAATATTTTGTAAAAATAGTATTGATGTTCTCATACCTAACTTTATTTTCAACAACTCCAAAAATATGTACAAATTTATTCAGTTCTATTTGCTTTATAGGGTCATTTAGCAAAAAAACTTCTTGTAATAGGAGGGGAGAAGGGCTTTGTACCTGCCTTCTTCCTGGCTCCCCCTCCTAGCTTTTCATCCTGCACCTCTATGACCTGAGAGTTGTCTGTATTATCCAGAGGGCTATAGCTGTTACGCATATTCACCATTCCAATAGGTTGTATCTCCATCTTGGCTGTGCCCTTCGCATTCCTTTTCAAAGCCACAGAATATAACTCTTTTGTTTGCTGTGTGTGTTGTCTATCAGTTTCCAGCCTTTCCTCCGTTTGCTTACCCTGTTGCTCTGTAGTAACTTCAGCAGCATTATCAGTTTCCAGCCTGTCCTCTTTTTGTTCACCCTGTTGCTCAGTAATAGTTTCAGCAACACTCTCCACAGGTTTCGGAGAAAATAGCTCATCAGGAACAAGGATTTGTCGTATAGTATCCTGCTTGTATCCAGTTTCACTTTGACTAGTAGCCTTTGGCATCCATTTAGTAGAAGCTTGTAGTGCCAGAGGACATTGCTGAACAAGATGTCCAAATTTCTGGCATTTCAAACAACTAGGTGGATTCCATTCATACTCAATCTCTTGATATTCAAGCTGTCCATGTTCATTTATGTAAGGGATACTATCAGGCCTAATAGTGTCTATATGCAGTTCCACACAAATTCTAGCATAGGCAACTGGAGACTGGTCAGCAGACTGCTTGTCTGTATATAATGAATTTCCCACAAAACTAGCAAATTTGCTCAAATTGGTTTCAGTGTAATAATGAAGTTTAAGATGAGGGAGACGAATCCAGACAGGTATCGACTCCAAATCCATCTTTTTCACATCCAAATCAGGTGTCCATGGTTTTAAGAAAATCATTCTGCTAGCCATAGGCTAGGGAGATTGTTCAAGCACTCCCATCTTAGACTCAGGCGACTCGAAATTGAAAAGAAATACCCCATTTTTCAGAGAGGTTTCTTCAATTTTCCCCAATTCTACCCATCTGCGTTCCACAAACCTTTGAATCACAGTAAAAGGAGGGTGAAAGCCAAACATGAAACTGACCACAGCGATCTTTTTGAAGTTCAAGTTAGGTCAACCCGATCGAAGAGGTGGAAATTGAGTAGAGAAATCAGCCGAACATTGCAGAGAAACAAAGCACAATAAGGAGTCCCGATCCAATAGATTGCAAGAAGCATTCGTCTTATCTGTAACATTTTTGCTGGGGACATTTTTTAGATTAGTATTATCTGTAACCGTATATCTGCTTTGGCAGAGTAGAAATGCTGTATTCAATCAGTATGGAGTTATACATATTCCATCTCCTTTTGCAGAAGATTATCACTGATGTTCGGCATGTGACCACTATTTGAAAGGGTGTGCCTGAGCCGCAAACGAGCCAAGTTAAATCGAGTTTTGATCTAATCAAATCGAGTCTTGACTTAATTTTATTGAACTCGAGTTCGAATTCGACGAACTAACAATTTTGAACTCGAATTTGAGCTCGACTCGAGCTGCTCGCAAGTGACTCGGTTCGTTTGCAGCCATAGGTGTGTCCAGGAATCTTTTTTTTTTAACAAACGTTATATATTAATACTTGAAAATACAATGATTAATTACAAAAAAGGAACCTCAGCCCTCTAGTCATTGTTAGCTACTTCTACTAGCCATGGTGGGAAATTATTTTCCAATTTATGTCATTAATTAACTATGTTGCAAAATGTGCTAGCCTATGATTTCCTACATTAGTTGATCTAGGTACAAAAGAGACTCTGCATTGCTCAAAACCTTTAATTAGGTCCTCAATGTCTTCCAGAAGGGTTGCTATATGATCATCCTGCGCATTGTTGCTTGTGATCATGTCGATTGTTTTGCAGTTTGATAGCACATCTATTTTCCTCCAACCTGCTTGTCTTGCCATTTAGAGTGCCATCCTAATGGTTAAAATTTCTTACATTAGAGCTTCTCCCTTCTTTGTCTCCACTACTCCTCTTGATCTGATGATATTTCCTATCCAGTTCCTTGCTATTATTCCTTTTCTTGATCATTTTTGCACTGATAGCAGCATCCCTATTGATTCTAATGATTCCTTCCTTTGGTGGCTCTTCCAATTGTTCTCGCTGATTTGGAACCACTCCTCCCTCTTTGTCCCTTTTTTCTCTTGCAATGGCCTAGGAATCAAGACAACTGGATTCTTGCAATGGCCTGGGGACTATCCTAGAAAACTTTTGAGTAGGTTGTTTGTAATAGATTGGTCTTTGTCAAAAACAGAAGAAAATTAATGTTTGATTGGCACAAGACAAACTTTTGTTAACTCATTGGAAGAGGTTGAATACAAAGGATGTGTTGGTTGCTTAGGGTCATTGAGGTGGATTTTTTGTCTAGCTCGTGGTGTAAGCAAATGAGTCAACCAGTGTATATTTTTGTTTTCTTTCCCTGCATTTGGTAGGTTGTGTAGAATAAAGGGTACCAGGAGATTACGATACTCAGCTAAAATGGATGCTGCAGCATATTCTCACGCTTCTTTTAGCCTGTCTAGTTATGCATGTTGCTTTTACGAACCAGTGTACTATATAGATGGAGATGTAGGAACAAGGAGGCTTTTTGAGGAGTTCATCTTTCGTCCTGAGTCTGTTAGTGTTCAAATTTGAAGGAACTGAGAAGCATTGTTGTCGACCAGAAGACCGTATTTAGCATAATTTTTTTCGGAAACGACAACTATTGTATAACCTATCTTAGACTACAGGGGAAGGGGAGCCTAAAGAGGCTGTGTTTGGAGCTAGCAGGTACACAAACCTTACTAGACCAAGGGAGTGCTTTAACATAAATAAGAACAAGACATTTTGCTTTCCAATCTTTGCAGCTTAGTTTTTCTACTGTGATACACTTAGCTAGTCGCCTTACTGATTGCTTTTCTAATTTTCCCAATGTTTTCCCAGTTGTAAGCCGTCCCTAGTCTATTCTTCCCACAAGATCAATAAAGTAAATAGTGTGTGCTCGTGTGTTTTGTTGTTGTCATTGTTTTGGCTGCTCATAAAAGGAAAGGAAACTCCATGATTAACATCAACATCCAAGATCTTACAAAGAAAAATGCGTCGAGAAAATGAAAGAGCTACATCTTAGCTTTTCCCGGCCAAAACGTCATGGGAACAAAGAAATTTTAGTCCAGTTACGCAAATCTAACCCAGTTTCAGAACTCGAATCATGAAACAGATGAACTCACGGGAGGCAGAATTCCTTTTAATGACCTCAGTAAATTTGCAGAAAACTCACGGGGAGGGCTCTGATTTGCATCAATCAAGAATTAAGGACTAAAGATGAAAGAAATGGACGAGAAGAGGAAGGAATATAGTGATAAAAGACACGAATTGCAACTGGCAAAGAAACTTAAGGGGTAAAGGGGAGATCCAGTTAAAGGTTGATGGAAACAGGTGGTCTTCCCAACAAGTAAAAAAACAATGCCTTACCCTCATTATAAAACACTTTTACAAGTTATATTCCTTGATCTTAACTGGTCCTATTTGAATTCCTCACCTGTTTGCCAAATTTTTGGCTAACGTACCCCATATCTCCACTATATCACAACAATATTACAGTGTACTAGAAGATCTCAGGCCAATCTAAATGTTCAGTATTTCCTTTACTAACATGCCAAGCTCCCTCAGCAATCTCATGAAACAACTGTTCCCAACCCCAGCTTGAAAACCCCAAGAAAAACCAGTGACCACGAACAGATTTATTCCCCAACTTCAGTTCATCCATTAGTCGAAGTGTTGCCCATTGATCAAGAAAATACACATCCGGTAGCACTTCTGGGTGCTTATCATCCACAAATTTCTGTGCTAAAGCAACCAAGGGCATTCCTTGTTTCATAACAGGACCACCATAAGAAAGAGGAGCACCCTTTAGCTTTTGTAGACCTTCTTCAAGTTCTTCAAGTGACTCCCAATTGATATGTTTGTTAACAATCAAACCTTCAAATCCTGTGGCTTGATTCACTTTCACGATAAGAATTTTGGATTCATCAAAGGGCTGTACATTCAGGAGCTTGTCTGTTGCAGTTAAAATGCATCCAGGAACTACTAAAGGGGTTGATTCATGTGAGCTGCTCCAAGATTGAACTCTGAATTGAGTAGCTGCAACTTCTCTCTTCTGGTCCTCGAGGAAAACTTCATAGTATGTGCTCTGGGACAGAGGAGCAGTTATAGAAAAGCTTCCACCTTCTTTGACCTCACCCCATGAAATATCTAAAAAAAGAAAAAAAGGTTGAATGCTACAAGGACAAATTACAAAACAAATACCCATAATTAAGCATCATGATTTAGATACTTAATTTCAGTTAATTACTAGCTTTTTGGGCTCCAATAGCTGGCATCACCTAACAATTAGAGTTCTCATTCGTCGTTATCAAACTACTGATTAACTGGATCTTAAGTTGGTGTCTAGCCCCAAGACTACAAATCCAGCCAAACCACCCAAATCAAGGAGTATACAAATGGATCCACAAGATCTTCCAGAAATTCATGGCTTTACTCAATCAACACACAAAGAATCCACTCCCTAGGTTTGTTACGAACACCATCCAAATCTTTGATTTGGCTAATAGCACTAAAACTATTCTGAAATTCCATGTGTTCATATGTGATTCAAGTGAATATACATGTATCCAAATATTTACTGCTCATGTGTACTTTCATGGGTTGACCATTTTTGACAGTATGGGCATGCTTACATGTGTTCTGATCTGTCCATCAGTTTGGTTTTCACATGTTCGAGTATGTGCTGAGAAGGAGAATGTAGCAGGAGCAAGCAGGAAAAAGGGTAGACAACTTGCATAGAATTTAGGTCTGTCATGCATGCAATTTGTCCTGCTCATTCTTATCTGTGGAGATCTCAAGGAAAATGAAGATGGTTAAGAGATAACGAGGAAGAAGAAGGTAAGATGAAGGATGTGGTTCCTAAGATTTAGCATGACTACAAGCGAAACCCTAATAAAAGTGTGTCCATGCCATAGGTGTGTGGTAGACCTGAGCATGGGATGCATATGATCCGTGTTCACGGACATCTCACTCTCGTATTATCTTCTTATGCTTCCAATTTTTCTACAAAGATACTAAGAACTCTTTTGCCATTGTATTAGTTCCAACAAAGGGATTAAAATGAAGTATAACCAAAGATTGAATTGAATGTGGTTTGGTGAAATCCTAAGGGGCTTGGTTTCGCCAAACCCTGAAGGGAGCACATACACAGAACCCAGTGTAAGCATAATTAGAAAAACACACCAAACCTAAAACTTGGCCCTTGTCCACTGCCCCAGCCTTTTTTTTTATCTTCAAAAGCACCCATTTTCATTCAAAGAGTAATTACTCTTATTTGATATTTTCATAGATTCTTCCCAGAAAACCAACTTATTTTTCATTTTGGTTGTCTCCCATTTGAGTTCAGCTCATTATTTGTAGTTGCAGACACTATGCTATGCTTGAACTAAAGGAAAAATTGTCCAGGACAGGACCTTTGGTTACCAGCTCTATAGTTTTATATTAATCCTACTAGTGGATCCATAAAGAGTTCTTTTCGGTAGGGAAGGGGACCGAGAGCGGAACAATTCCAGTAACCTTTTACATTCTCCCCTGCTGTGCTACCTTCCCACATAGAACAGATATATTATTTTTGTTGTCCCAGTTTTACATCCATCTTGACAATTGACGCGGAATGTTCAGGTCTTTTGATCATAAATGAAATCTAAGTCAAAGCCCATTGGGCGTTTCTTGTTCAATTTGATTACCTAGAGCGTTCTTGGAGGAGTAACTAGCATGGTTAAGGAAATTCAAGTTTACATTGGCCATTAGGCTTTTCCTCAAGGGTACAAGTTCAGCCAAGTTCTAACGTATAACACTCGAGAAACATAGTAGCAAAGGTCCTTGATAGTTCAAGTAATAAGTACTTAACCTTCACTCAAGTCGCTAATATAGTTTTCTAGACCTCGAGTAAAAATTCGGGCAGCATGCCCTTTGTGTTTACCTAATTTTCCAGCCATTTAGGTTTCATTATTTTTCTCAACCACAACCCAACATCGCATATATCAACAATTCATGTCAAGAGCCGTTCCATAGGCTCACAATATCATAATAACAAGAATCACAACAATAACAAGTGCAGAAATTCAATTTGGCACAAGACAGATTTGACGTATGAATGCGGAAATAACATATTCGAGGCTACGCTTATCGGATTGAGACGCAACCTATGCCGTTTCGAAGCTAAGACACAGAGCTACAATGTTCATGAAGGTTACTTAGTCCAGTTTCTAATGTAATTTGGTCAAATTCTCAAATTACTAAACCAAAAACCAATTCGTCGGTTGTTTAATCGCATTACACTGTAATGGACATAACTCAGTGTACAAAAGTCCTACAACTTTCATGTTTTGGCAAAAAG